CCGTGGTATTTCAAAGTCAGACTACTGGGTGGGCCGGCTGGAGCACTACAATTCTCCCATGTTGCTTTCCTCTCTTGTGGCATCATCACAAAGGTGGGGCTGTTACTCTGTTGCTCTCTGCTTACAATGGATGACAGAAGTTGAAATTTTCCAGCAGTGCCCTCTTCACCCTTGCTAATGACCAAGTAAACAGAGCACATGGAGTAAGGGTCTCTTCCTTTGTATACCAGAGATGTTTGGGCATAAATTATGCTCAAGACCAAATACTGTTAATAGTTAGTTTCTGCTTTTTACCTGGGTTACATTCAGTGGACTCATGAATATTTATGAATATAGTTATTTACTATGCAACTAAAAGGTGTGAACAGTGCTCAGACTGATTAAGACTATTGTGAGAGACAGTCTTTTTTCCACTTTTTGAGTTTTCCATACACTGAAATCTATAGGGGAATCACGGGAAACAGGACTCCTCCCTAATTATCCTGTGCTAATAAGTAGTTGCTTCCAGGCTTTCAAGATTGTGGCTTGGAAATGTGTGAAGATTGCCATCTAGTGGCTGTGGTGTGAAGTGTCACAGACTATCAGAAAAGCCTTATTTGCTCCTCACAAGCATCATTAACCCGGTCCAAGAAGATGAGAAATTGCCCTCACATTCCCTGTATCATAACTCCGAAGACACTTTCTCGTGACGCAGCTGTGGGAGTTGGTGGAATTTCAGGACATGTTAAATGAGAAGGCAGCATCGTGGGGGAGCCCAGGGACCTGTAAAGGGTGCCGCTGTCATCACACATTATAGGTGGCTTCCTGCCACATCCGAGCACGGGGCTGGTCAGCCAGAGAAGCTAGTGCAGTGACATATGGAGCCTCATCTCTGCTCTCTCCCTCTATCCTTCTGTCCAGTAAGACATCAGGCCTGGTTGGAATGGGTTGAATTATGTCCCCCAAAAAGACATGTTGAAGTTCTAATGAACTAACCCCCTGGTCCCTCAGAACAAGGCCCACTTTGGAAATAGGGTCACTGCAGACATGATCCATTAAGTTGAGGCTGTGGTCACACTGTGTAAGGGTGGGTCCCTAATCCAATATGCCCAGTGTCCTTGTAAGAGGACAGATACAGGGAGAACACCATGACCGTGAGGCAGAAATTGGATTGATGCAGCGGTACCCAAGGATGCCAGAGACTGCCAGCAAACCAGCAGATGCTCAGAATAAGCGAGGAAGGACTCCTCTACAGGTTTCAAAGGGCACATGGCCCTGCTGACGTCTGGAGTTCAGACTTCTAGTCTCCAGAAGTGGGAGACAATCAACTTCTGTTTAAGCCCCTAGTTTGTGGTTCTTTGCTATGACAGCTAAGCAGACCTGGCCTTTCACTTTCAGTGCCTCTCTCAGCATACCGCACGCTCTCATTTTCCAGACAAGCACGTGTGGTCCTCCTCGGTGGCTAGCTGCTCTCCCAGCTGCCAGTCTCTCCCCTGTTCAATTCACACTTCACAATGCCAGAGTCATCTTTCTAGAATAGAATCCTGATTTAGTCATTCTTGTGTGCTTTCGGTCACTCTTTCTCTGTTGTATAGAAACCAGATGTCTTGGCCAAACATTCAAAAGTCCCATTGATCTGGTTCCTTCCATTTCACTTTGGTATTTTACTTAGTACTTCAGCCACATTGCACCAGATGCTGCCATCCCCACCTGCTCCCTTTCACACTTCTGCAGTTAGAGTACCTGTTCCCTTTGTCTTTGTCAGAATCAAACTGTACTTCTTGCAAAGTCTTCCTCCATTTGTTCCCAGCAAGAATTCTAGATATTTCCCAACCACTTCTCAGTTCTCTGAATTCTTACAGCTCTTAGCCTTTATACTTCTGATGACATCTTTCCTTTTCCATCTTGTGTTATAACTAATTACAATTTTCTACTGCCTCAAGTCACTCAGTGGTCAGTAAGCTTTCTGAGTAGGGACCATCCCTCAATGCCCTCAGTGCTCTACATGTTGAAGAAACAGGATTGGATAAATGATGCCCTGTAAGGAATGATTGAATAAACGTTGCCGTTTCTTCAGTGTCTAGGGAATGGTCAGACATTTCTTCACTTCATCTAATACCACACTCTCCTGCAACCTCCCTGTTCTGGCCACAGTAGCCTTTTTCAAGTTCTCCTACTTGATATGCTCCTCCTGCCCCAGTCCCTTTGCACATGTAGTTCCTTCTTCCTGGAACACTCATCCCTGCCCAGAACATCAGTTAATTTCTTCTTCTCCTTGATATTTCCGCTCAGTCATCACTTTCCCAGTTAAGGTTTAGTTCATCTTACTCACTGGATCAAATTCCCATTGTGTGAACTCCCCTGGCATGACAGATTCCTACTGTGTTAATGACCCACTGCGTGGGTCACTCCCAGAATGTGCGATACTGCTCAGAAACCCATTCTCCTGACTAACTTGGAAGATGATGCCTTACATGAACCACAGGACTCATCGCTTCTGTTTGGCTTTATTTTCTAATGCCAGTTACTTTTGCACATGACCATCTTATAGTTCTTTCCCTAAAAACTTGCTGAAATGGAAGTGCCATCAGGTTCCTGATTTCTTCTGGAACAGTCAACCCTTTCCATTGACTTACTGCAATGAATGTCTGACGGTCCGGATCCCTCCACAGTGATAAACAGAAAGAGTAACAGTGAAAATGACTAAGAATAACAACCAGAGAAAATTGAAACAATGGCATTGAGCCCCATAACAATGCTGACCTACAAAGTTTATGAAATGTGGAGCAATGGGGAACTCAACTTCACATTGACTAGAACTTAAGATCCAGCGTGACGTTGCATCCTCTGCAGGGAAGGAGTAAAGCAATTCTTGGTTGCACACTGAATTATTTTAGTGAAGTGGTGCCATCTTCCTGATAGTGTCTGTTCCACATGAGTTGACTCTTGTGACAGTACTTCTCTTACATAACATTTCTATGTGCACTCCCGCATCTCGCTCTCAGAATAACTACATGCAGTGGAGAAGGCAGTTATAATTACTATCCCCATTTTACAGATGAATACACTGAGGCTGGGACAGGAATGGCTCCTCTAAGGGCTCATTGTTAATCTGGGCAGAGCAGGTATTGGAACCTGGTCTACTGAATTCTTATGCTCTCTCCACTACCCTTTACTACCTCCTAATAAAACCCATAGAGGAACAGAGGAATACACTTACTAAAAGTTTCCACACTAATATCTCCTTTCCAAATGACAACTATCATGGGTAAGTCAGCGTGAACTCCAGAAACATGCTTGATGGGCCAGTGCTGTCAGTCCTCAAGGAGTGTGCTGGGGGAGCCAGAGCTAATGCTGAGGAAGTGCTTAGAGCAGTGAGTGGCACATGGTCAGTGGTACCAAGGAATGCTCATTAAATGACATAACTGCGTGTAAGGACCCAGGCTGCCAACTGTTCATTCTTTAAGACTTCATGACCAAAAAAAAAAAAAAAAGACTTCATCTCCACCCACAGGGGAAATAGTAAGGACAAATGATGTGACAATGATTTCTCATATTGGCTAATACCAGCTTTAATCCTCACACAGCTGTACAAAATAGATTATTAGCTCCATTTTACAGATGGAAAAACATGCTAAGCAAGTTGTTTGAGGCCTTACTCAATGGTCACTTCAGAGCTGATGTTGGATTATTCTGTTTTGAAATCTTTCCACCCTGTCATGCTTCTTTCAGATCTAATTCATTCAATCAGTTGGGATAATAATTCAGTTATTAAATATTGTAGCCTACCAAACTTCCCTTTTCCCTTACATTGTCTGGTTCTTGGGTTAGGTACCCCGTAGCCGTCATGGCAGTTTCGGTAGTTGCCTTTAGAGTGCTATTTTGGCTGAACTTAAAACACAAAGAAGGTAGTAGCATTTTTTAAGTGAGTGTTTGCCCCTTTCAGTTTGATTTAGTGGCCTGGGGTTCTCCCGGTGAACTACATTGCCCTTGAGTCAGTTTATTTCTTATGCATTTGGAGTAAATGATGTGCTTCTAAAGGAAGAAGGAGTGCGGGGTGGGGGGGAGGGGGGCACAAGAGATTCATGTTTAACAAAAAGAACAAATCCAGCTTAAGCAAAGAGGAAAGCATGAGACAGTGGAAGGACCACTGTCGCTCTCAAAACATACAAAAGGCATCTCTGGGCACTTTACAGCCATTCCCAGCTTGGTCCGCAGGACAACCACCAGGCTCCGGTTGGAAAAAGATGAAGACCAGTCATAAGATGATGGATTCCAAGTAACAGGGTAACCAAGGCCATAGTCTTGGGAACTGTGTCTTCTTGAAAGAATGCCCTGAATTTAGCGCTGTGTATATCCCTCGGGAATATGTTACCGCCTATCAGTGATCATGTCAGAAATTCTGTGCGACATCTGGGTGGTCTCGTACAAAGACCCGGAACCCCAGGTCTTGAAAAGGGTCAGTGACCACTGCACCTGAAGGATGTCAATCCCGGCAGAGAATTTAGGAAATATGTGTAAGATCAGCGCTTTGATGTATTACCTCATTTAGTCCACCACGAGGTCCTCATAAGCATAAAGAGTACGGGACTGCAGTGCGCTCTGTCATTCTGAGCATATTGATGCAGCACATACTGCGCGTCAGGCACTGTGCTGGGGACGCTGCCCCTTTGGAGCCTTCTAAGGACCAGTGAGGAAGCGAGAAGATAAAATACTAGCATTGGGACTAGGAAGAAAACCGCCAGCAGCCAAGAGGGCAAGAGAAGGAAAGAGGGCGGAGCAACCTATATGCCTATCCACTCCTGGGCGTCCGTTACCCCAGCCCCTGCCCCGCCGCACTCTCCTACCTTCTCCCACTTCCCTCTTTGCCCGGCTCCCTGCTCCTTCCGTGCCGCCTGGTGGGGGAGGGGAGAGGTCTTCGAGCCTTCTAAGCCTGCCCCGCCCCCCCCATCCTCCCGCAGCAGCCGCGCAACCGCCGGGCTTGGACACGCCCTCGCCTACAGCCCTTGTGAGCGGTGTCCGCGTCCACAATGGGAAATGAAGCCAGTTACCCGGAGGAGATATGCTCCCACTTCAACTCCGATGAAATTAAAAGACTGAGCAAGAAGTTTAAGAAGCTGGACTTGGACCGTTCAGGCTCTCTGAGCTTGGAGGAGTTCTTGTCCCTGCCCGAGCTGCACCAGAACCCGTTGGTGCAGCGAGTGATCGACGTCTTCGACACCGATGGCAATGGAGAAGTGGACTTCAAGGAGTTCATCCTGGGGGCCTCCCAGTTCAGCGTCAGGGGGGACGAGGAGGAGAAGTTGAGGTTTGCCTTCAGCATCTATGACATTGATAAAGACGGCTACATTTCCAACGGGGAGCTCTTCCAGGTGCTGAAGCTGATGGTGGGCGACAACCTGAAGGACTGGCAGTTACAGCAGCTAGTGGACAAAACCATCATCGTCCTGGATCGGGATGGAGACGGGAAAATATCTTTTGAGGAGTTCAGCGCTGTGGTCAGAGGCCTGGATGTCCACAAGAAGTTGGTGGTGATTGTGTGAGCTTTTAAGAGCACCACCCACCAATTCTTATTTCCCTTTCTGTCTCTTAAGATCTGCTCAAGGCAGTCCAGGAGCTGGGTCTCTGATTTATTTGGAAGTGTTTCTCTTTGTGAAGCCACATTTTCTAACATGAACCTCATGACCAACTCAGTGTAGTGAATTCTTTTTATCTCAGTGATTCAGGGTAACACCCATACTGGGGGAGACCAAGATGAAGGAGCATGGTGGGGAAAGAAAATCAAAAGGTCTTTCTAAACATCTTTCTCGACAGATTGTTAACTTCCTATTGTGGCAACAGGAACAGATCTATTTCTCTTGGCTGAGCACCTTTTAATCAGCTCTCTCTGGGCAGTGAAAGCCCACCTTTCCCTTTCCTAGGCTGTAGCCCACTCCCCATCTTGCATCTAGATATCCCTGAGCCCATCTGGAGGCCTCCTCCTGTCCCATCATTCCAGCTCCTGACCAAGAACTGGTCTCAGGGCTCTTACAAGAAATGCTAATAAGCCTGGACTAAATGCCTAGCCCAACTCTCAGCCTTAGTGGCAGTTTTTCCAGGTGGGCCAGCCATCCCAGTAGGAAGTACAGTTAAGATTGCTTCCAGTCGGGGTGCCTGGGTGGCCCAGTGGGTTAAAGCCTCTGCCTTCCGCTCAGGTCATGATCTCAGGTCTTAGGGTCGAGCCCCGCATCAGGCTCTCTGCTCAGAAGGGAGCCTGCTTTCTTCTCTCTCTCTCTCTGTCTCTCTCTCTCTCTCTGCCTGCCTCTCTGCCTACTTGTGATCTCTGTCAAATAATAAAATCTTAAAAAAAAAAAAAAAAAAAAAAGATTGCTTCCAGTCCAAACAGGGCAGGGACCTTCCCAGGAAGCTCTTCCCTCCAAAACTCAGCCCCCTGCCCCCACCCCACCCCACCCCACCCCCAGTTAGAGGGAAAGAAGCAGATTCAGAATTGTTCTGATAGGACAGAGGCAGATACATTCAAAAGATGCAGAGATGGGCAAACACATCTCTGCTGCAGGGGGGGGAATGCTGTCTATACTAGCTAAACTCAGTTTTAAACATCAGACCTGAGGCCTGGCAGGGAAGCTGAGAGCTCTTTCACCCCAGGAAGCCTTTTTTCTAATGGGATTCAGCCCAGAATTCCTCACAGGCTAATACACCTGCAGCCTAGGTGTGTACTAGAGCCTAGTCATCCTGGGCAAGGGCAGTGTGTGTGCCTTCTTTCTAGCTCTGTGTTTAGGGATGTCATGTTGTTAGATTGAAATTGGCCATGGGAGGGACACCTGGGTGGCTCAGTTCATTAAGCATCTGCCTTTGGCTTGGGTCATAATCCCAGGGTTCTGGGAGTGAGTCCCACATCAGGCTCCCTGTTCAGCAGGCTCCCTGCATCTCCTTCTGCCTGCCGCCCCCCTGCTTATGTGCGGTCTCTCTCTCTGACAAATAAAATCTTAAAAAGAGAGAGAGAGAATTTGGCCATGATAGAACTAGTACATCATGGAAAGAAGCAAAAACATTTCATGTTTTGTTTGGAGAACTTGTGTACCAGTAAGTATACCACTGCCTATATCCAGATATTACCAGCTCTCCGAGGCCCCACTTGCTATCAGTTCTCAGAAAACCAACTGTCCTAGGTCCCAGCATTTGCCACTTCATGCCAATCCTCTTGCTTACCATGGACCACTCCCCACAGACGGGCTGAAGGCTCCAAACATCAGGACAATGAAACCTACTCTCCCTACACAGGACAAAACTCAGGTGATTTTTCTCAGGATGAGGAAGATCTGTTTGAAAGATATTATTATCCTTCTAGTTTGAAGAAGCCAGTTGCTATTTTTGAAAAAACAGAAGTAGGAAAAATAAGTCCACAAATTTCTTCACTGTCAGGGTACCCATCTACCAGCCTCCCTGCCATACTTTTTATTAAATAGATTATTTAGGAACCACAAAAAATAGGAATCTCTGTTCCTTTCATTTCTGTGCAGTCCTAAAAAAAATCTGTTAATAATAAATGGTCCCAACCATGTAGCGATCTGAGTCATAGCCCCATTGCAGGATGACATCGTTGAAAGAATCAGACACACCTGGGTTTGGAGTCATTTAAACCAGGTTCTTACGATGGGCATTTATTAGCTGTGTGAGCATGAGCAAGTTACCTAACCTCTCACGATCAGTTCTCCTAATTAAAACAAGGATCCATTGGTTATTTTGAGGATTCAAAAATATAAAACATGTAAGGGTGGCTGACTGTCTTGGTTGGTAGAGCATGTAACTCTTGATCTCCGGGTTTTGACTTTGAGCCCCATGTTGGGTGTAGAGCCTACTAAAAAATAAGACAAGGGCCTGGAGCACAATGGGTTCATTCTAATTCCCTTCCCCCTCCCCTTCTCCACTTCTATTAGATCAAGATACATAAGGGAAACAGGATGCTTATTTCTTCCTTTTGAACCCTTTCTTAGTACTTAGCTACACCACTCTAAAATTAAACTGGATATTTGTGTAATCCTAATCCTCCCCACCCCCTCATTTGCAGAAAAAAATAGACTTCTTGACTAGAGAAAGTTTAAAAGAAAGACTCTCTGGCCACCTGGGTGGCTCAGTTGGTTAAGCATCTGCCTTCAGCACAGGTCATGATCCTGGGGTCCTGGGGTCCTAGGATGGAGCCCCACATCAGGCCCCTTGCTCAGCGGGGAGCTCGCTTCTCCCTCTGCCTGCTGCTTCCCTGTTTGTGTGTGCTCTCACTCTCTCTGACAAATTTAAAAAAAAATCTTTAAATAAAAGGAAGACTCTGATTCTAGCCCAGCCTATTTGACTCTGTGGAGGAAACTGCATGAGGAAGGCGAGCATGTGCAGTACTAGCCAAGAAGGCCTCAGAGACATTTTTTATATACCCTGCAATGTACACATTAAAATATGGAAATTTAAAAATTACAACGAAGGGTTTGAAACATGTTGGATTACATGTTTTAATTTAACAAGAGGAAAATATTTCAGCTTCTGGAATGGCCGGAATTAACAGGCTAATTGTTCGATCAGTCTACTTAATGTAGTTACCCAGAGTTTTATGGCAATGACCTTGAACTAAGAGCCTGTTTCCAGTTTCAGAAACTGGAAAGATCTGACTGTATGGGTATTTGGGAAGAAAGATCACATTTACTTCCAAGTAAGAATGCTCTGATTTTTCTGTTAGTTGCCAGTTGCCAACAAATGTAGTTCAGTGCAACTCGTTGGGTGATAATGGTAGGTAACATTTACTGAACCACTGTTCCAGACACTGTTGAAGTTGTTACATCATTTAATCATAATAACACTGTGAAGTAGGTGCCATCATTCAGTTTAATACATGATGCTCTGGAGAGATCCAGAATCTTCTCCAAGATCTCCCAGCTGGTAAGTGGCAAAGCAAGAACTTGAACCAGGCTCCTCCTCTTCCTCCTCCCCCTCCCCCTCCTCTTTTTTTTTTTTTTTTTTTTAAGATTTATTCATTCATTTGAGAGAGAGTGCATGCCAGTGTGGGGAGGGGCAGAGGTGGAGAATCTTCAAGCAGATCCCCCCATCAAGTGCAGAGCCTGTGGGGCTCGATCCCACCACCCATGTGATCACAACTGGAGCCAAAACCAAGAGTCAGATGCTTAACCTGCTAAGCCACCCAGGCACCCCTGAACCAGGCTTTCTTCTGATCCCAAAAGCTGAACTCACTGCATTACCTCTTACTTTTATGGTTCTTATATTTACCTGCTTCAAAATATTTCTGATAGTGTTATTAATATAATCAAATCAAACCTCAGTTTTCACAAAAGGAGTGAATTACTCATCAAGGACCTAGCAGCTGGCACCTCTTTGGTTCTACATATTGGGGGGGGGGGGAAGCAAGGCAATCATAAGTCATCTTCCATCTTCATTTTGAAAAATAAGTGATGTGTTTAGATTAAACTGATAATAGCAACCATACATGTCTAAGCTATAGAGATCAGTAACAATATGTTGTTATGAATCCTATGTTAATGGATTGTATCTGCTTTCTACCGTATGTTGCAATCCCAAACCACTTTTTTTTTAATGTAGGAAAAAATGGCTTTAGCATTGTTGGTTTATCCTCTAGGTCTATCATGCTTTAGAGACATTCTCTGGGAAAAACCTCTCAGGAAATTTTTTTGTTTTGTTATAAGCTGTTCTGCATTTATGCTGCTGATTGTCTTTGTTAGCATGGAGGAGGTCATTGATCTGGCTACTGTGTTTTATCTGTTTTTCTTGCCTTGAAAAGGGAAAGGCTTGGATGTTTTTAAAGACAAGGTTGCATCGTAATTGGCCACTAGACTGAGAATCAGAACTGGACCCCTCTCCTTTCATATTGGCTACCATAGCTCTCCCAAAGGCTGGTGACTGTGTGAATAGTAGCAAAGCATGTGTCAGCTTTAAAGGCATTAGCTGATTCACAATGAAAAACCACAACACTGAAAAGGACACTAGCAGCAAGACAGCTGTGTACATCAAAGGATATAGTCTGACAGCTCATAGGCTTAATCTGACCCACAAGTACATTTTTTGTTTTACATAATGTTAGTACATAGTTTTACATAATGTTTGTCCTCACAATTTTCTTATTTGCCAATATTTTTAAAATCTGAAGATCTTAAAATGAGCATAAAGGAGTGCATGCCACCCTGAGAGTGCCCTTTTATTGACTAATGTATCTCTGAAGCATGTGGCTAAAATGGAAGGTCTCAATGAAGAGAAAATAACGTGCTCCACTCTTTAGTATAAAAGCTCAAGAACAAAATGGCAAAACCCCTGGTCTCTTGGAGCTTATATTCTACATGAGAAGGGAAATAGGCAATAAATTCCTATTTATCATGACAGGAGAAAAATTAAAACAGAGTAAGGATATAGGTTGTGTCCAGGAAAGGAAGGGAAGGAGGGCAGGTTTTGCCTTTTATTTTTTTCAAAAATAAAGCAACTGGTCATAAAACACTTATCCCAACAATGTGTATATTTTCTAACAGCTAAAACAATAGATGGGTTTACAGTAGTCAAAACAAATAACAGCCATATAAAATTTCAAACTTCCATATAATAAAATCCAACAAAAGCTAACGGTAAAACCTGAAGTTAGAGAAACATAAATAATATGTAGGAAAGAGGTTAATAGCTTTTTTAAATAAAAAGCCTGGACTTGTCTGAAATGTATAATTGGCAAAGGTTATAAATATAGGATTCATACAAAAGGGGATGCAAACATCAGAAAATGGCCTCACTAAGGAAATA